TATACAGGCAGTCCCCGAGTTACGCGGATCCGACTTATGTCGGATCCGCACGTACGAACGGGGCTTTCTCGCCCCGGAGCTCGCAGGCAGCGGGATCGCCCAGAGCGCAGCGGTCCCACCACCTCGACCTTCGGGGCGAGAAAAGCTGCTCCGGGTGCCCCTGGTCTGCTGGGGACCGTCTCCAACAGACCAGGGACACCAGGAGCAAAGCCGGGGAGGCGGAGGGGCGCTGGGGCACTGCCGGTTGGCCTCTTAAGGGGGGGTAGTCTTATTCGGCGAGTATAAGACGAAAACCTATGTTTTAACTAGAAAATTAGGGGGTCGTCTTATACTCCCAGTCGCCTTATATGCCGGAAAATACGGTAGATAGATTCATGGAGGTTAGGTCCATCAATGGCTATTAGCCAGGATGGGTAGGAATGGTGTCTGTAGTCTCTGTCTGGAAATGAAGGACAGGAGCGGGATCACATGAGGATTACCTGTTATGTTCCCTTCCTCTGGGGCATCTGGTATTGGCCACTGTCAGCAGACAGGGTACTGGGCTAGATGGACCTTTGGTCTGACCCAGTATGGCTGTTCTTATGTTCTCATGACTAATGAAGCCTCATAGCCCTATCAAGAAATAAATTGTATTCCCACTTGACAGAGGAATGTGTGGGAGGAGGGTGGAAGAAATCATGGTCCCACTGAAATCCATGGGAGCTTTTCCATGACTTCATTGGGGCCAAGGAAGGGTAAAGGACAGAGAGGGTAGTGAGCTACTGAAGGTCAGGCCATGGGAGAGTTTGGAATGGAACTTGGGTTATGTTCAGTCTTCAGTGACATTTGTTTCAACCTTTTCTCTTTTGACTGTCAGTGTGTACCATGCAAACTAATGTCATATGACTTATTATAACACTCATCTCACAGAGATGGATACATCCCAGTATGTGAAAGATTTTTATGGGTGCTATTGCTCAGAGAGATTATCCCGGTCAGCTGAATCCTTCCAGTTGTCTGTAGGCCAAAACAAAATAAAATCAAAGTATAAAAAGGGGATTTAAAAAAAGGTGTAATAGTTCCTGAATGCAATTCACTGCAAGGCCATTTGTTTTAATCCCCTTAAATCTGCTTTGCAGTGATCCTTTATCCCATTGGAAATATTGGAAAGGACTGAGAAACAGTGAACAAACATCAGGTTCTGTGAGTGCTTCATGAAGGCTACATAGTGCATCATCCTGGATTGAAGAGGGAAACACAATAGAATCTATTTTTGAGTGGTACTGGCCTATTGTAATTGACCATATTTGAAGGTTTTAGCTTTAAAAGGGTGGTTCCCGGTCAGGCAGAATATTACACAAGCCAAAGGACCTCAGTTAGCAGTGTGTGAGTTTAAAAAGGCTAGAGTGCAAGCATACCCTCCCCAAAGTTTTTGGTGGTTGGAAGCAACAGTGAAAGATTGCCTTGCATCATCACAGCAGATGACCAGTGCTGTTAGAAAAGTAATAATGTGTGTATGTGTGAGTGAGTGAGAGAGAGAGAAAGAGAGGGTATGTCTACACTACCCTCCTAGTTCGAACTAGGAGGGTAGTGTAGACATACCCTCTCTTTCTCTCTCTCTCACTCACTCACACATACACACATTATTACTTTTCTAACAGCACTGGTCATCTGCTGTGATGATGCAAGGCAATCTTTCACTGTTGCTTCCAACCACCAAAAACTTTGGGGAGGGTATGCTTGCACTCTAGCCTTTTTAAACTCACACACTGCTAACTGAGGTCCTTTGGCTTGTGTAATATTCTGCCTGACCGGGAACCACCCTTTTAAAGCTAAAACCTTCAAATATGGTCAATTACAATAGGCCAGTACCACTCAAAAATAGATTCTATTGTGTTTCCCTCTTCAATCCAGGATGATGCACTATGTAGCCTTCATGAAGCACTCACAGAACCTGATGTTTGTTCACTGTTTCTCCAACTCCAGATGTGGCTTCTTTCTGTAACTATAGTCCAATAAAAGCTGCAACTGGAGTCTTTGCTTTAATATTACATTATCTGAATGGATTGTCATGGACTCTGCTTGTTCTTCTTCTTTTTTTTTTTTAATATTCAGGGATGTCCCATCACAGGCTAGGAGACTTGTGGACCGGATGAAAAATGACACTGTGAGTCTTGGCTGACATTAATATTTTTCAGTAGGTTCCAAAATAACAAAGAGCATGTTTACACTCCAAGCCATTATTTTGGAATAATGTTGAGCTGGAGGACAACTTCTTCTAACTCCTGTAACTCTCATTTCACAAGGAGTGGGGGAAGTCAAAGGAAGAGTGTTCTTCCTTCGACTTTCTGCTGCGTAGACAGCACCACAAGCCAAATTAAGCTATTTTGACAATTGACGTAGCTCAAGTTGCATAGCTTAATTCGACTTTTGTCCCGCTGTGTAGACTTTTGTTCTGCTGTGTAGAGGACAGCACAGCATAGCAAGAGGAGTTGTCAGCCAGAAACATATGGGTAAGGCAGTGATAAAGTGGATAGAATGCAACATGTATGTTATGAATGCAATGTATGCTTCAGCACGCCATCAAGTAGGGCTTTTTGGTTTTCATTACATAAAATGCTTGGTTGTTTTTCACAGTGAGGTGACATGCATGTTAATTACCTTGCTGTAAAATCTTAGTGGAGATCAGTTAGTTCCCTCAGACAGAGGTGGGAACTAACTTGTCTTCACTAGGATTTTACCGCAAGGTACAGTAAACTTCCGATAATCCGGCATCTTTAGGACCCAGGGGGTGCTGGATTATCAAATATGCCGGACTATCAGAGGGGGGGCTATGAGGGGTCTGGAGTGGGGTGGGAGGGGATGCCACCCCAGACCTCTCATAGCCCCCCTTACGATAGTCCTGCTCTGCCCCAGGCATCCCTGATTCAGCCGCTGCTGGTCAGTTTCAGCAGCAGCTGAATCGGGGATGCCTGCAATAGAGCAGCTGGGGTGCTGCCGGGTTGGTCCCGCAGTGCCGAGGGGCGGCGCTACGGCACCAACCCAGCAGCACTCCAGCTGCTCTTGGGAACGCCTGGGACAGAGCAGCTGGGGTAGGGCCCAGTTGGTCCCATAGCGCTGCCCCTCGGGGCTGCAGGACCAACCCGGCAGGACCCCAGCTTCTCTGCCCCAGGGGTCCCTGATTCAGCCGCTGCTGAAACAAAACAAAACAAAAAAACACCCAACTTCTTTGGAGTGAAAAATAGTCTGAGTTCCCACAGCAGTTGTCTCCAGCCATCACCTTTCTTGAAGTGTTGTCCTGTTGTTCTCTCTCTCCAGACCAGGGCCTTAAATTGCAGATCTTTTACATTCCTCAGCAGATTTGACCTGCAGTTGTGACCCCTGAGAGAATGACAGTTATCCAGTGACCAGTCAGTTTTCCCAAAGATTGCTTTATTCAGAATGAAAACATGACAGAGAGAGCATATCTTAAAAACAATAAAGAACTTGCATATGCCTGGCTTACTAGATGGTCACCCATCTTTTTCATGGGGATCTAATAATTTGAAGATCTAAAAATATATCAGGTCTTCCACAGGTCCTGGGTCTGTTAATCACAGTCGTATGCCTGTCAGTTCTTGATGGTGTCTGACTCCTGCATCAGGGCTGTCGTTCTGTACAGATTCAAGCCCTTTGTGTGTGTTTCAAACTAGGTCACACCAATGGAATCTCTTCCTGAGGGTTGGGAGGGGGAGGGGTGTGAAGTGGAGAAGGAGTATAAACTTAATTGACTCCTTATCTGTATTGTTTCTTTTGGGAACTTGCATTAATTACCCTCCTATGCTTTTAGTTCCTGCAGGTAACCTACTTTCTTATCCATTTAGCCGGGAATACAATCACTAACAAGCTAATAAAGATACATGAAATAAAATGCCAACAGTAGTCTTTGAATAGTCCATGATTCCATCGCATCACATCTGTCACCTCAACCGAGACCAGAAGTCCATTGTGCTAGATGCTGTACAGACACACAGAAGGACATAGTCCCTGCCCCGAAGATAAACTTAATTTCTTTAGACTTGTTTTTTTCCTTACCTTATCTTTTATTTTTCCCCTGAATGCAGGGAATAAATTTCCAGGAGGACTGGAAGCTCATAACACTCTTCATAGGAGGAAATGACCTGTGCAAATTCTGCAATGATCCAGTAAGTCACTAGAGAGCTTAGATCTAGCTAAATGAGCTTGAAATGGCATTGTTACTTGGAGCGTTTGGGAGAGTGGAATAGTGGGGCTTGGCTAGTCTGCACATGGGCAGCTCTAGTATTCCCGATGGTCATTCAATTTGAGATAAAGTAATATGATACTATTAAGAATTGCTATTGATTATCTGATTGTAGCTACTTTTTTTGCTACAAACAAAGATAACTTTCTGTTGATCAAGTTGGTTCTTTCCATATATAGATAAGATAACAAACTGTCAAGGATTTTCCCTGTTACATTTTACCAGCATGCTGTATCTATTTTTGACTCTTTCATGCTCCTCGATACGTGGACATGGAAGAGATTCTCATGCCAAATTCCTGCTTAATACCCAACCTCCTCTTTGCACCTCTCACGTGGTGGTGGGACCTTGTTGTTTATCCCTATCCACTAAGAGCACAACACATGCTTTCCATTCTGGATGACTGATTTCAGAAAAAGGAAAATAACAAAGACTGCAAAGTCTTCATGAAAGAAGGCGAGCAAACACAATGGCTTACTAACATTCCGAATGTGAACTGAAGGGTGAGAGGCCCCGCTTACATTCAGAGATCAGCAAGATATCTCCTTTATGTTACAAACCAGAATGTGGCTTGGTGAGCAGACCAGCAGAAAATACATAAAGGAAAAGAGAGTCTGGATTTATAGAGTGAACTAAGGGAGTGGGAACTAAGGGTTGAAATCAAACCAAGCAGAATTAAGCATGAGCATCATGAGGGCACAACACTTTTAACAATAAGATCTTATTGGACTATTCCATAATCTCATAAGAGAAGAGGTGAAATGGATACATTTAACAGAGCTATTCAAGTATATTGTAGAGGAAAATCTTTCCCTGGCAGAGGGAAATGCACAGGGAGACCTAGTAGACTTTATCTCCCATTAATTTCTCTATCTGGTACACTTCCACATGAGATGTTCTTGCACCTGAGATTTCATGCAATTTAAGGACTGAATGGCAGGCAAGCTGCTAATAGCCCACACACCTGACTTAGGAAATACTTTGATATTTTATATTATATGAGAAGAATGTCTCCTCAGACTGCTCTCTGCTGATGAAAGTCTTAGTGGTAGCACAGCTATACTTCTGATACTAGCTGATAGTGAACATGGATGAAGTTGTGACATCTCATCAGTAAGCCCAGAGGAACTGGCCCTGTGAATAACCTCTGATGGTTGCCAAATCCTTCTTCTGTATGATAAGGACTGAGCTGGGGAACCAAAGATGCTCCAGAGCTTCTTGTTGTGCCATATACCTTGAATCAAAAGTTAAGAGTGCAATCACTGTAGTCTGAGACTCAGCTAGTAGCTTCTGTATCTGCCTGAGGAAATAGTGCCCAGAACTAAATTCTGTCCTTTGTTTCAACAGGTGCATTTTTCTCCTGATAACTACACCAACAATATAAAAATAGCTTTGGACATACTTCATAGAGAGGTAAAAAGAGATCTTTATTACTAACCTAGGGAAAGGAACCAGATAGGAAAGACAAATGTCTTGAACTTCAGTCATTGAATCTAGATTTATTAATTTGTCATCCTATTTAGTTTTTCATTTTCGCCTGGGCAGCCCTGCTGCAGGTGTAGATGTAAAAAGAATTTAACGAAGTAGCTTACAGAAAGAATGGTGATTTGGTGGACTGGAATTCCACCTGATGTGTTGGAGCCAGGCTGTGTAAATTATTGACAAATATATGGTATTTAATGACAGTCACATAGCTGTGTGTAATAGTAGCATATCTGCCCGCTCATTATACAGCACAACCTCAATTATTTTTATTAAGGGACCTATTCTGATATTCTTTTTCTGGTTGAAGCTGACAGGATTACTCATGGAGTCCTGGGCTCCTCATGAGTGAGGATATCAGACTTTTGTCTTGCAGGAGCAGCCATTTTAGGATCTGGTCTTGTTAGAGTCTTGAGTCTCAGTGGCTGCACCTCGGTCTTTAAGGTAGAGGAAACCCAATTCCGCCAGCACACTGGAAACCTCTACTGGAGACACTAAATGGTTGCCTGGATCAGCAGATTAAGAATTAGCAACAAAATAATCTGACCAGTCCTTGGCCTGGTTGGTTGCTCAGGAGAGCAAGGTGGTGGGTGGCCTTCCTGTTCTCTGTTAGCTGGCTTTGAGTTTGTCTATTCTCTTGGCAGGTTCCTCGGGCATTTGTGAATCTGGTGACAGTCCTTCATATAGTGACCCTCCGGGATTTGTACCAGGCAAAGAACATTAGCTGCCCAAGGCTAATCATGAGGTATGAAAGACTTATGTTCCCACTCTTCTCTTTGTTCAGCAAAAGCTGCAAGGTCTTCAGAAACCTTCCCTTTAAAGGAAAAGAATTACACCATTTCAGATAACAAAGTACAATTTTTCTGTGTGAATATTAAAATACATACACAGTATATATTATACTTTCAAATCAGTGATTAAAATACCTGTCTCTCTTTTGCGATCTCCAGCTTGTGACTACTGCTAATGGAATACCCATTTTAATTATATGACAGCAAACTAGACTTTCAACTACAAAACTGATTAAGAGCAAGCACACGTGGCCCAGCATTACATTGTTTGACAAAGGCAGCTAATTTCCAACATTATTAAAATGAGGGTTTGAAAGAGCTGATAAGCTTGAATCTAGCTCTGTTTAAATTCTAAAATGTACCTTTTCGACAGCTTTAAAATTCACATATGTCCCAATGGTGAGCTATGTTCTTTGAGCCCTAGCCCTACATCAGCTGTATCTCACCAACTGGCGATTATTAGCTGCATCATTCTGCTGCTTCCAGCAGTGGGAAGAGTAGGGGATCTGCATATACTGAGCAACCAATCAGAATATGTGGGGAAAGAAAGGAGATTCTTTCTCTATAGTGTAGTTAGTAGCCATTTCCATTAGTAACCATGCCAGGTCTTGAGGTTGGCGCTTAGCACTGGTTGTGGCAAACTGGGAGCCAGAGAACCACAAGGTCTGTCTGAGCTTAGCACTCTCAGTAACAATCCCTCTGCTGTTGATTATAGCTGAGTTCATAAGAGCATCCCACTGATAAGAGAAGGTGGTGGGAAAGATCTGCAGGATCATCTGTTGATTGATTGGAGTGTCACAGAAGGCACATGACACAACCTTTTGCTGTGATTTGGTGGCTCTCTGACTGTCAATAACAAAGAGGCTGTGGCAGACTGCGTGCTGTTGTCTTAGAATATCTCCTTTGTTTTGCTGCAGTTTCCCTTTAACAAAGTACAAGCATATCAAAATATCCCAAGCAGCAGGACCAGGCCAGGATGAAAGCCTCTGAGACTAGAGCTGAATGTTTCTGATCCCTCAGAAATGTATCTTTTTTTCTTCCCAACCTACCCAAATGTCCTCCTGCTGTCGTGCCTTTGTGGATCTATGGGCAGCAAGGAGATTTATAGGTTTGGCAGTGAGTCAGGTGTACAGGGCTTTAAACAGGCACTGTGCAGAAGACTTATGAATGGCATGTCACTGACACATGTTTCAAAATACAACTTTGTACTTTGTTTTTCATACAAAGCATGCACGCACTGTTTCTTTAACTCTGTAGCAAACCAATATAAGGCCTTGGCCAAGTTTCTAGGTAGACACTATAGTGAAGCATTGTTTGTTATTATTCTAAACAAAGAGAAGGGGAGAGGTAGCTTTAGGAATTGTATCCTCTTCCTTTTTCCACCAACGCTCCTTTTCCAGTGTTAGAGTAAGCTCCTCTTTTAGAAGTGACATGATAGCAGGAGAAAGGGATGTTTTCTGCTGAGATTTGTATTGAAATGGGGAACAGAGGTGTTTCCGGGTGATAGGAGCTGCAGAAAGAGATGGTCCCCTTCCTAGCAGGAGTGAGACTATAGGGAGTGACTGACAGAGCCAGCAATAAATAAAGGCGAGGGGGAAGCTGGAGCAAGTCTATGGAAATTTTGCTCTTGATTCTATCTGAACGAGGCTGCATAGATGTGCTCAAGAACAGAATTTGACCTGCAGTGCCATATCTGGCGCAGTAACAGTCTCCTCACCTTAAATTAATGCATTTATCCCTAGTAAAAGTGCTTCTGAGTTTACTTCATGTTTATTGGGAAGACCTACATATTGGAATCAATATTATCACGTATGATTCTTTCAAAAAAGTTCACATTTAAAGGAGTCTGTTACCCTGTGGACTCTTGCACTTCTTTTCAGAAAAGAAAAACAGTGCAGGCTGAACTTCTCTAGTCTGACAACATCCATGGTCCAGCATGATGTTAGCCAGATATCCACTTATCATGGGTGTGGTCAAGTTTCCTGCAGTCCCATAAAGTTTGCCCTGGCTCTCAGTATTCTGTGTTGTTATTTAGCTCTAATTTACCCCTAAATGTTTTCTAAGAGCCCAGTAAGGAGTGGAAGGGTTGGTAAGGCTGCTAGACAATACTGACTTCCCGTGGTTCAGCAAAGTCTCTGGTTCGGCACCAGTCAGGTCCCGAGGGTGCTGGACTAGAGAGGTTCAGGCTGTAGATTATAGTACAAAAATAAAACATCACCTCTCTTCTTGCAGGAATTTGTGTCCTTGTTTGCTGAACTATGCTGACAATTCCACTGAAGTGGAAATCCTAGAGTCCTTTAATAGAAGGTATCAGGTAAGGCAGAGGACAGTATTAAGAGATTTAGCAGAGAATTCGTTAATAATCATTCTGTTCTTCTTTTCTAGCAGCAGTCACACTTTGTTCTTCTGGAAATAACAAACAAATGGTCCTAGGAAGGATACTGTTTGAAGTCACTGACCAAGGGACCCAATCAAAATCTAATATCTAGTACAAATGGATGATGAAATGTGCTCACATTAGTCAGATGTAGATTAATAGAAATCACATTGAATTGGGTTGGAGGGGGCAGGTGAGGATCAGGCAAGGAATAGGGGGAGATAAGGTGCTACGATCTTTAAAATGTGTTTCAGTGAGGCTTTGAAATAGAGTGGCTTTGAAACAATTGAGGTAGCAGTTCTGAATACTCTACTTGCTGGGAAATTGGATTACATTGAGGAAACCCAGTAGTTCAAGAATGAACTCTGTGTGATGGAAGTCAGCTGAACTAAAAGAAAAATCCCTGGTTCCTCTCATAATAGGAAATCCTATTAGATTAACATGGAGTCTCTCTAGGTCAGTCAGATGGCTTTTGAGCAATAGATCATCTACAGCCCCCATGGTGCCTTCTGAGAAGGAAAATGAATGTTTCAGGAAGCTCATGCTTTCACTGCCTTGTACAAGAAGGGAGCCACTCTTGGTTTTAGGTTTTGCATGGTAGGATGATGACACTTCTGCAGGAGGGTTGGTGTGGGACTCAGTAAGCAGAATGCAACAGAAGGAGCGGTGAGTGATTCTTCTTCTTTCTTCAGGAGGGAACCCACCAATTAGTTGAAAGTGGAAGGTATGACACTAAGGAAGATTTCACAGTGGTTGTGCAGCCATTTCTGGAGAAAGTGACCATTCCAAAGACCAAGGTAAACAACTGAGCCTGGTTCAGACTCAGTGCAACTCCTTTTGACCCTCAGTGCTCTGCTTTGTTAGTTTGTCCAGTTCAAATGAGCCAAGATCCAAGGCTGTGGGAAATGTTTTTGAAAAGGATGGAGACTGTTGGTAACACTGCTGAGTGCCCAAGTCACCTTGGCCTCAGACATAGCAAACTGCATTAGTCATTAAGTTTGAATCCCAGTTGTAAAAGTTCTATAGAACATTTGAGTTTTCAGCCAATGGACTGATCTGGTCCAAGATAGTAACTATCATGTTCTCAGAGGCCCTCATGACTACAAGTTGAATCTCTCCGGTCTGCCACTGTTGGAACTGGATCGATGCCAAACCAGAGAATTTGCCAAACCACAGGAGGGCAGTATTGTCTAGCCGCATTACAAATACTTCCACTGCTTACTGGGCTCTTAGGCTGCGGCCACATTGCTGTTTTTTTGCAGAAGAGGATATGCAAATCGTGCTCGCATTTGCATATCTTCTTCCAATTCTTTTTGCGGAAGAGGTTTTTCCAATAAAAAACCCCATGTAGACAGGACCATTTG